ATATCGCTGAGTGGAGAAATTAGGTATTGGACAAATAAAGCTTTTCTGCTAAGAAGCATATGCAAGAGCTAGGCGTTCTAAGGACTCATGGACTTGTTAACAATGTTCAGTTTTCTTTGGAAAGAAAGTTAATTTCTTGGTAAGCTAGCAATGAAGCAGAATGTCCTAAGCTGAAAACCTGTACTGTGGAAGATTCTCATTCTAGACTCAGAAGGATTTTATTTTATTAAAATATAATGAAAAGGTTTTGAGAGGTGGCTTTTACATCAGAGAAGATGCTGTAACACTGTATTAATTTACATCTTTATTTTTCCATACTTACCATTGTGCTGCTGCAGATTGTCAAACGGATAGAAGACTGGGATGGCCATGTAAAAAATGGTTTTAATAATCCATGCTAATTTTAAGAGACAGGACAAACAACTGATTTAGTGTTTTAAATATTAAAAATGTGTAAGGTAAATGGCTAATACAGTGTGAGATACACTTTTTAGGCAATCTACTTAGAGTAGACATGATAATAGTAATTAAAATATAATAAGTTACAGGATGTAAGTTACAAGTTAATAAATATAAGTTATAAGTTAATAAATTACATTGTTATTACATTCTTTGTTAGATATATTTCATTTAATTGTAGCATGCCAAACCTTTCTTGCAATCACAGTACATTTGTTCTTCCAGTTCTCTTCAGAAACCAAGCTAATGACAGAATGAGTGTTCCAGCTGAGAGAGGCTGTGTTAGCATTAACAGCTCCTCTCCAGATTTGTTGCTGATCAGAGATGGCAGTAGTTGTGGCTGTGGAAAATTTCTGAAGGATTGTGGAAACATGTTCATACCAATTATTTCATTGTTCAGCACCCTTACAGCACGGAGTGTTGTTACCATCCTAAAGTAGAAACAAGTGCCCTGAATTTGTCTTTGTAATTCACCACACAACTGAGTTGGCTGGATACTTGTGATGCCTGATCAAATTTCAGCACCAGTAATTACTTGTAAAAGGGAGGATCTTTTTAAAGACATTAAATAGGCAGCTAGTTACCTAAATAATTACCGTGTTAAACCTTGCCCATGAGCCTTAGCTGATGCTGGGAAGCAAACTTCTCACCCCTTTATTTGCAATGGTTAGTAAGAGTGGTTGGTCTGTTGTATAGTTGTCAGTCACCTTATGATATAAAACTATGGCAAATGTTGCCTGTGAGAAACAGCTGCTATAAGAGTAAAGGTAAAGCACTCTCCTTTATTTCTGGAGGATTTGCTTTTGACATCAGAAGACCTCTCCCAACAAAGGCAGGAGAGCAGTTTTTAACAGTCCACTTCTTATCTGCTGCTTGGTGTCTTGCAGATGATGCAGCTTTAAAACTTCCATTCTCTACATTCACCATCATGCAGAGTCAGGCTTTAAATACTCTAAGCTGGGGGAAGTCAGAAGTTGTTGTTCATAGTAACTTTTATTCTAACAAAGCCATAGGATTTAAGGTTGAATAAACTAGATGTGTCAGTTTTTCTGGTGTTAAGAGTTTTTTTGTGATTAGGATTAAGTTTTGATGGAAAAGGTTACAGTTTGAAGAAGTGGCTAAATTGTCAGATTGAAAGTTCTTAGTGTATGGGCATTTTGGCTATACCTATGAATGTTTTACTTAAAATTGCAGTGTTGTTTCCATTTACTGTTTTCATGGAATGGGCATTCCCTTTGCCTCTAGTGTTCTGTGATTTTATAATGCTGTTTTCCTATTTAGAATATATAAAAGGTAAATAAAAACAATTATAGAATGTGCAGAGAGCATAATCAATTACTTTTTGTCACCTATACAAAGAAGTGACAAAAGGTTTTTCTTTTTGAAAAATGCTGATGTTGATACTAGCAATTACATGAACCAGAGATAGCAATCATTGTTAAAATTTCTTTATTGAAATTCAGCTATTTTAAATTGTCAGTGTATTATTTGAAAATAAAGCAACTGACAGGAACCTATTTGACTGCTTTAGTCATGAGTCTGCTAAGGGTTAAGAAATTAACAGGAATTCTAAATACTCCTGTACAGTAATGGTGACTGTCTCTAGTTTTGTTCTCAGGATTTGGAATTAAGGTTTCTTTGATCAGTTTTGGTTTTGTTTTTTTTAAATGTTATGGTAAATATACAAGAGTTTCAATTTTTTGAGGGATTATTTTGTGAAAACTGGGGTACATTTTATTCCACCTGACACTGCACCCGAAAAATGATATCGCTTTTGGGATTTTCTGTCTACTGCTCATAGGGTGCAAATCTCCCTCCTCTCAGTCAGCCAAGACATTCTGTGAGTTTGGCAATTGGAAAGAAAACTGTTAGGAGTTCAGTACACACTCACTGTGGTGCAGCAGTGTCTTGGAATGAAATAAGTGTTTTTATATCCAACGCTTTTTGGGGTTCTTTATCCTAATCTCTGCTAATGGAGTGGTGTTATCAGTGACTAAAAGAGTACTGTTAATATTAGTGAGGCTCAAGACAACAAAAAGGTCTGTGTGACTGACATGGTAAATACCACCTCCAGAAGAATCACTGTGCTAAGATTGCTGCAACAAGCTCCTTAAAAAGTTTCTTCCACAGAATCCTTTTTCTTTTCCTTTGATGCCACATTATCAAGAGAGAGAGCTAAAAAGAGTTTACCGGTTTAATTCTGTGGTTGCAAAGATCAAAGATTTCTAAGTTTGTAAAATTTTATTTTGGCAACGTGTCCTCAGAAGCTTCTTTACATGCTTGTCTGAAAGATGCAGTTCATTTTAGTGTCTTGCTACTGTTTCCAATTTAGTAAAGAATAAATTTGAGGCATTCTGGGCAATTCAATTACTCAGTTCAGTGTCTTCTCTAAATTCAGAGTAAGTTCTAGGGAGCAATAGGATTTACACAAACCATTTTACAAAAAGCACACTCATTTAGATTATGGATATTTTAAAATTTTATGTCTTTTATGTAATATAATCAGAGAGGTTAGTAGAGCTTTTTGAGTGAGACATATAGTAGTGCATACTGGTTTTTTCCATACTGTTTTTTTTTGCTACTTTGTTCTTTTAGTACTGATCTTTGACAGGCAACATAGGCAAATGGGTAGCAAAAAACATTTGGCATTTTTTGAACAGATTTTTGGAAATTATAGGATTACCTTTTATATTTTCTTTTACCGTACTTGAAAATAAAAGTATTTTAAGGGGTGAGTCAACACAGGATAAAATTGTCCTGTCCACTCCCAAGTTACAAATACCCATTCACAGGGATATGTGAAAGCAGAAGAAAAGGGTCCCAATCTTCAATATGAGGAAATAAGTCGGCATCAAAACCAAATGAACTATATTAACATTATGGGAAATTGCTAAGAAAAATTAATTTGACTGTTAGAGAGTTTATGTGGTTGTAGAATGGATTGACCTTGGTTATGCAAAATGCATCCATGTGATGGAGAGCTGGTTGATGATAGCTGGATTTTCAGAGATGAGGTGAAAAGAAGCTTGAATTAGGTTTTTACTACCTCCAAGAGGGAAATTATCTTCTCCATTTGGGATTGAAGAAATTCATAGCACCTTTAAGTCTGGTTGATGCAACCTGGCTATTATACTCTATGGGCATTAGTATTGTGCCTGGGCTAAATAATCTGAAGTTATTAAAAACTGTCTAATTGCAGTGAGGGATAGAAGGATTAGTCAAAATAGGTCTTTTTCAATTTGATCCACTTTAGTATTATTGAATTACTGTAAATATATATTTAACTCCTGTCATATGTCTTAGGTGTTGATGAGGCATTTAAATTACAATTGCAGTTCTCTTAGAGCTTTGTTCCTTTAAAAGGAGAAATTGCTGTAAGGAATTCATCAAAACTGAGAGGTAGCCAAATAGAGTTAATGATGAAAAGCACAGTAAAAACCCCCAAAGAATTCATGTAGTTATGATATATCAAATAGTGTAGACTTATATATGTACAGACTTACATATGAGCTTATACTGCTTCACTCTTTAGTGTGATTTTATAAAGAGTAAAATCAGCTCTCTACTCAGCTGATAATGCATATCTTGCAATATAATCTCTTGCATTTTGTCAAAGAAGGTGTCTTGATAACATGGTATGATTTGAAAACAATTTTCAAGTGTTTTTATGTATTTGACTTATTTTCACCACCAGGAGAAACTTTTCTTTGGATTTGAAGTTCTAATCTGGAAATGTTTCTTACCAAATCTCATAAAGCTCTAAGAGATGCTTGCTTCCAATCTGTCAGAGTTTTCAGCATGGTAGAATTATATATATGATGACTTGAGCACTCCTTGTGATATACTGATGTTTGTAAAAAGTTAAAAGTTCTGAGACCAACTCTGCATATTTACTGTGCTGCAGAATAGAAGTAATTGAAGCATGATGGAAGCAAGCATAGGGAAACCTTGGGCAGGCATCTGCAGAAAATATGAGCAAATTCTTGTTCAGAGGATTTATTTCTTGTTCACAAGTTCTTCTTCAGAGGATTTAGGAAATACTTTGCAGTCTATTGAGACATTTTACTTTATTCTCTGAAGTTCCACCTGGTTTTATAGGATCATTTCCACTTTGTATTGTGAAGAAAGAGATAAGAGAAATGTCCATATTGCCCTGTAATTGCAGTATAATGTGTTATGCATGCTGGCCATGATGAGATTTGCATAAAAAGGTGTCCATTGGTTAATCTGATATTGCTGATTTAATTTTAGAAAGCAGATAAATGTATGCTTAAATTTGTTGTCACTTTCCTGGCACATCTGCCATTTTCATTTCCATAGTTTTTTGAAAAGTCATTTTGATAATATTGCAGCTGAGGAAAATGAAGAATGTATTGTTTCCAGGCAATTTCACTAATGGAACAAAATATGATACATGGTACAGCAGCATGCAGAGAACAGTATGTATAGTTTTCAGATCTAACCTTACTTTTACTTACTGTAGTAAAAGACATGTAGAAAGCATTTTTCTGAATTTGTTTTTCAATCTGTTTTGTTTTCAGGCATTGCTATTTCTGATGAACTTGATAAGGTAAGACTGATAAAAAATGTCTAATGAGCAATACAAAGAGACAGATGATTATGATAAGGCACATGCCACTGTCCTGGCATACACACCTCTGTTTTTTAGGTTCAGAAGAAATTTGGGTATGGAAAACTGTATGGGTAAGTACAGTATATGTGGATACATTAAGATCTTGACCAAGGATGAGCTTTCAAGTGTGGAAAAAAAAAAAAGACTGAGTTTAAGAGACTGTTGGTGAGACCATGGAAATGCTTTTGAACTTGACACCATCTTTGCTTAATATAGTCTGTTGGATTACTTTGCCTACTTTTGGAAACATTTAGCCTTGAATACCTTTTATTAATTAAATAAAATTCTGTATTTCCAAATATGATTTGTGAGAATACTTAGAAATTATTTTTACCCATATTTACTCAGGAATGCACAAGGCATAAAGATCAGTCTTTACCTCCTTGCTGAATGCAAAAATGGTGTCTTCAGTTCTGGCCGTTTTTGATACCTTACACAGTTAACATGAATTTTAATTAAAGATGTAATGAATTCATAAATTCTACATGGAAAGAATAATCAAGCTAGGTTTATTTAAGTACTTACAGAAACAGAACCAATTTTTTCCCTATTCCCAGCAGTGAGCAGCAGTGTGCTTCTTGTGCCAAGAAACTTGCATTGTGTTCTTGGTGTCAGAAACCATTGCTGTCAGGAAAATGAGTTCAAAAGATACATAAGACGCAGGAATTATGCCTAATATAGAACACTTTGGTTTTTTAAATAACTTTCGTTTCTGTTGGTAAAATGAGGACACAAATCTGTCTGACACAAGTCATATAAAATACCTTCACTGAGTTCTTCAAGGAAGGCCAGTTAGGTAAGACTGATGAATGTTACCATGCAGTCAAGTGTGTCTGTGGCTGCCATTTCCAAACTATGGCTGAAGTCTTCCCACTGTTTCCGTAACTGGGCTTAGAAGGTAATGGTGATGGTAAAAACAATTAGAAAGTCCTTCCATTAGAACCCTCACCTCTAAGAATGCTTAAGAACTCAATTTGTTATGGTTTTGTTGTTGGAAAAACCCTAAAAGATACTCTGTGAGGGAGGAAGAAGACAATTTAGGCTAGAGCCTGATATCACATGCAATATTTTAGCAAATAATTTCTGGTTGGTTTGGTTTTTATGAAACTATGATATCTTATTGTTCAGAAACATTAATGTTTTTTAAATTTAGTTATTTAGTATGAAAACTGGATTGGAGAACATAATTAGGAAATTTCCACAGGATGCAGTTTGAGTGAAGAGTCAGGTTTTTTTTGTTACTGTATACTTTATTTTTTTATAATTTAAAACTGGAGGGTGGTAGGCATTTAAAAAAAAAAACTTGAAATTAGGTTATATATATTCAATTAATACATTGAATGTTCTTGAAATCAAAAGCTATTTCTACAAAATCCCCAAACCATTAAACTCTGTAACATGCACCAGTTGTGCAGTACAGCTCAGCATGCTTTCAACGTAGATTTAGAGAAGAGGGATTTTTTACCTCCATGATGTTCAGTGGACTTCATTTCTATTTCTTGTTTGACCCTTTAAGGATTTTTAATTAATGTAAAATCTAGTCTGTTTTAAGAACAGAAGCATGGCCAGGACCATTCTGTGGAATTCTGCCTCCTAGGAATGATCCCTTACAAAAGCTAATTCCTGAAATGTTCCTGTGACTTGTTTCTTCATGTATTATTTGTCTTGGGCCAAAAGCTGCTAAAGACAACCTGATAATACTTGTTTTAACATTAAAGAGAATTGGTTCTATTTCACATGAATGTGTTCACATGTGCTGTTTATTTTTCAGGTATAAATGCAGTCAAGTTTTAAATTTTTAATACCTGCTGATACTAGAGCTTCCTTATCTAAACTGTAGCAGCACTGAAGAATTTTTGAAATCACATTCATCTATGGTTTGGATGAACAATTTAACTCATCAGGTGCATGTCTTTGTCTAGAACAGCATGGCCAAACTTGGCATTGCATTCTAGTAAAACATCAGCATTGCAGAGTTGTTATGAGAGACGTATAAACCTCTTCTCTGTGCTCTTCCTTGCTTTACAGTCTTCATGGACAGGAGTATTTTGGGGAGCTAAGACTATGACAGAGCCCATAATTATGCTGTTTTATCTGTGGTTTAGGTGATGAATCTAGAGAAAACAGAAAATGCATATGTATGTTTCTTTATTTTTGTTTCTGATTGTCTTTTTTTTAAAAAAAATTATTTCTTTCTGAGTTCAGTAACCTCTAGCTGCCTTTGTCAGGGGAGTACTTAATCAGCATTTTTGGCTGATGTAACTCCCCCTCTAAGTAATCCAGTTAATTAGTTAGTTGCTTAGTTACTCTAGCATTTGGAAAACCAGTTTGCTCTGAATCACTTTTGTGAAAGAGTGTTTCATTTAAATGGATTCTTGCCAAATATCTCCTAGTATTTTTGTCAGTACTTAGAGCTTTTGTCCGAGGCAGTAATAGAGAAAATACAGGCACACAAGGTGAGTCTTTCAGTCAATATGGAATTTTTCAGTTTGACATAATCATCTAAAATTTCTGAGTTTACTGATAACCTTGCAAAAAAAGCCAAAAAAATCCTAAAATTACTGCAATTAAAATAGGTTTATTGTAGCGATTACCTTCTTTTTCATTTACTTCCGGCTTGCAGAGGTGTTCTGTCTCTCTTGATGATTCAGCCTCTGTCTCTAGGCCATGGAAGCTATGTCAAGTCAGAAACTGGCACTGCAAGTACACTGTGTAAGGAAAGGAAATAAGAGGGGATGCCTTGTCAGTCACATATTTTTAAATGAAGATTTAATATAATACATATTTCTGAACTGACTCACCCTCATTGCCACTGAACAGAAACTATTGAAGGATTTTAGGAACCTGCACACTTCTATGCATAATGTCAAGGGTTTAATGTAAACAAAGAAGAGCTAGGATGTTTGCCTTTTTTTTAAATATTCACACAGTTCTAGGCTGAAAAAAAATACTCTAGAGGAAAACACTGAAGAGTGAAACCTGTCATAAGATTGTGACATTTGTCTGAAATTCCCAGTGATCTATAGTGGGAGATAATGAAGGAATAGAGATCCAGAGTTAGACCTAAGTGAAGATCTGAAAATGAATAGTAAATTTTGACCCTCAATGTTAATATTAATTTTTTTTCTATGCTGGCTAGGGTGTACTTTCTTCTCATATGTAGTATTCTAAAATGAAAACAGGTTACAATTAATAAAATACAGCAAATTACTATTCTTAAGTCATAAAAATAAACAAATTTCTTCTCATCCCAAAGTATTTCTCACTTTGGAGATTCCCTTCAAATCCATATTAGAAAATAGGAATACTAAACTTTTTAAGTGATGTGTAAATAAATGGATATACAAATGCTGTCCTCTCAGGTAGACGTTGCATCCAGCAACCACATCTCAGCCCAGTGTGAAGAGTAGAATCAGCTGTCTGTCAGTCTTTCCCTTCTTCTCTTTTTCTCCACATAAAGGGAGCTTGAGTGTGTCAGTTTGGTAGCCACTGATGTGGATAAGTGGATGACACCTGGACTGCACCATGAAATAGTCCTCTTTGTTTTAGTGCAGATTTAAATACCTACCTGTACTGAAAATATTTCTGTGCACGTTAATGTCACCGCCAATATCTTCTGCTATTTATGGATGAACGTAAATTGGAAATCAATTAAGATTCTAAATTTATAGGGAAAAAAACAACTGAAACTATAATATCTTCCTTGAGAACAGAATACTTCATCTCAGTGTTTTTCAGCCTTTGAAACAGACTGCCAAATGAACATCCTGGTGTTCTGAATAGAGCTGCCTCTGCTTCGCCATTTGGTGCTTTCACTGAGGCTGCTTATGTAGTTGAAAGGAGGACAATAAATTAGGTCAGTGAAACCATAGTGTACTGAACTAACACAATTCAAAAAGGAAAGTAAGGTGATAAAGTGGGGCAAAGCACGACTGTGTAATGTAAATTACATTTCTGTTAAGTAGAGTATGAAAGTGCTACTTTATCCCTAAAATGCCTACAAAAGCAATTAGCATAGTGAAGACAGTCACAGAGTGCATGTTCTACTTATGTGTATGTTGATTTTGCAGTGTATAGTGTCAGGAAAAACTTATGGGCAATTTTTTTGGTGCTTTGCATTTTCATTTAAGGGACTGAAAGCTTTTAGCAAGATTGACAGTGCAAGTTATTCTTACTAACTCGTTCCAGAACAATTTTTATTAATTATTAGAAACTATCCTAGGGAGAAAGGGACAGGATAAAATAACTAGAATAACAGTAATAAATCTCAGAAGGGGCCAGATGGTTAATTAACTAATGTAAGCACCTTGTGTAATAAAGGCATTATGAGCAGCGAAAAAATCTTTTTTCTAAGCTCACAAGAATTGTTACACTTGTGATAATTTACACTTGTCAAATGCCCAGAGGTGACTGTCATCTAGTGCACATTACTTGACTATGCCACAGCTCCAAATAGAGGCACAAAACAGGTATTTGTAAGTACATAAAAAACCTCAACTCCAGTGGTTAAGTATCCTAAAACATCTGAAGCCATGGATTCAATTATCAGTGGTCCTTGCAGAAAAAAAAATTGTGTAAAATTGAATTAGACAGTCAAGTGATCGAGAAATATGGACAGAGGTATGGGGAGTGGAATGTGGAAAAACAATCACAGGCACATTGCAGAAAGCAAAACAAAAGAACAAGGGTGAATGAGTCAGATCCAGGACCTGGGTTACATTTGACTCTCAAAATAGAGGTTCTTGTGCTCAGCAAAATTGTAGCGTGTTGTCAGAGGGTAAATATAGTCATATTGAAAGCACTTTGCAACTTTTCTTTTTGGTTGTTTTTGTTTGTTACTTTCATTTCAATAGATGCCTCTACTTCAAACTGCTTTTACTGTACCTGTTTCAATTAGGAGATTTTCAAAAGTGGTTTGTTTTTAGGAAAGAGATAAAATACGGTTTCTAGGCTACCTAGTCAGTGTGCTGTACTTTTTCCAGATGCTTTTTGTTTGGAAAGCATTCTTTTATGGCAGGAATATTTATTGGGGCACTAAGTTAGCTAACAACCAGGGATTTGCTTTCCTATAATTTTCACTCATTAAATGATAGAAATATATCTCTCCTAATTAGGCACACTGTGTTTGAAATACCTTTAGTAGCCTATGAACAATTTCATTGAAGAAAAATAATTATTCCTATCCCATAATTTCATATCCTTTTTTTTTCACATCAGTATACAGATGTGTTTTTTAGTTTGACTATGCTGTTCTAAATGACCCTTTATATACAACCATTCTAGTATAATTGAAAACAGAAATACTCACTACATCAGAATGCTATTTCATACAATTTAAGGACAACTTGTTACTTTAATCTAAGATGGTGCAAGTTATTGCTATTGTTTTGAATATGTCAGTTATATTTTGCTTGCTTCTTGTAATCCTGTCCAGTTTATTGTCCTCCAGTAAGTGATTAAAAATAGTTTCAGAAATGCTTTTTATTCGAATGTTAATACCATTTTCAGAATAGAAAGATACATTATGTAAAGCCCAGCAGGGTTATTTTTAAAATGCAAAATGCAGATGTAGTTACTAGTTTTGCATTAATTCATAATGCAAAGAAGAGTGATGCTATTAATCTGCAACAGTCTTTTGGTTGGGTTTTTTTAGTACAAGTGGCCTTGTGTTGCTTAGCAGAATAGATACACTGAAGGTTTTAAGAACTGTGCATTTATTAAAAAAAGTGATTTTTCTACAGTTGCAGTTAAAAAAAAATAAAGGAGTGATTTGAGGCATCAGGGTACACAATTATTTCTTGGAATTTTGTTAATGAAGAACTTTTCCTCAGTTCATCATTGTTTCTGGGTATTTTGTAGCCCTCTAAAATGGTAATGCAATGTATTGGTTTTGTACTTCTAAAATTTTTTTTCTCTGTTTACATCTGTGGTTGAGACCAAACAGTCCATTGGTATTTTTTTTTTATTTTATTTCTGTTCAGGACACAGCAGGTTTTAATACCCCCCTTCTCAGACCTCGTGTTATTGGAGAATGGATTGGCCGTGAAGAGAATGATGCAGACCCTCTGGCTGCTGAGATGCTGCAGCCACCAATACCAAGGAATAAAAATGAGCAGTGGGACAGCGAGGATAGCAGCAGTCCTGGAGGAAGGTGGGTTTTTGATCTGGCCTAGAAACTTCTATTTTGTGAAACAGAGGTGTCTTTGTTACAAAAATCCCATTTCTGAGGGCAGAGTGCAGAGGTTTTGAATTCTCATGCCATAGTGTGGGCACATGCAGAATAAGTAGAAGTCATTAATATGTGACTTTTTTCTTCTCATGCTTTTCTAAATTATTAACTTAATACCCATTTGCAATCCTATGGATTAATTCCCATGAGAAAAGCTAAGTGTATTTTGACATGGTTGGGGTCCATTGTGTAATAATATTGTGATGTATAGCTTCATTCAGATACTTCATACCCTTCCATCTTTCCCAGGCTGGTAGTAGCTATTTATTAATCTTCCTGACACTTCAGTGATAAATCTGGTTTTCTCATTTAAAGGAGAGATAGGCAAGGGAAGCAGTATCTATGTTATTTTTAACAGGACTTCCTAAATTCATTTTCATTTCACATCTTAGCTTTTTTGCTGTTAATAACAAGTCTTTCTCAAAGAGAAATTTTGTTCTCTGCAGTAAATAATTTCTGAAGATTTATTGTGCTTGACTGAAAGAGTTTGTGCTTCAGCTACGTGGGAGAGAATTTTATAATTCAAGGAGTCAATTTTCCATGATTTAAAGATATGTTTATCACAGAAGGTTAAGTACTCACAGACTTGCTTTAAAAAGGATAAATCTTCTGCACTGCCTCTGTTAATTGACTTAAGCACCTACATTTCTCCCTTAGCCTTGGAGCATATCCCTTGGGTTATAACTAGTACTTTGATTGGAGCAGACACCTTTTTTTTTCTTCCTTACTTTAGGAGGCAGAAGCTGTGCTTTCCCTTTGAAAAAGTCTGAGGTATTCCTTCACTTCACATTCTTCCATGTACCTTCTACATTGGAATTCACCTCTGTGTCACACTGAAACTAATGTGTCACTGGCTGTGCTCTTACAGACTGCATTCATTAACTTTCCTCACATCTTGGGAATATTTGTTATCCATGAGTACTGCATTTAATTAGATTATCGTGGGGGTAGCTGTCAGTACTACTATTTCAAAGAAGTGGCAGCGTGTAGTAATGATCCCTCAGCCAGGCCTTGGACAGGAACCAGCACAACTCAGACTCTGGGTCTCTTCAGTGCAGTTCCTGGGAAAATAATGGAGTCAGCAACTGGCACTGCAGCTTGATTGTGCAGGCCTGGATTTCTTTTTCCTTATTCAGCAGTTCAGTAAAGGCATTGAATAAAGATCTGTTCCATGTTTCAGAGCAAATTGAGGATATTGTATCCTTTCTGTCAATAGAAAGGAGAAGGAATAAGCATCTCTGTCTAATTTCCAGAAGAGAGCAAAGAGGTCTAGTTCTGAGCAACAGACATGATTCAAAGCAGCATGTTTTTCTCTTTGTAGAAGATGGTACAAGCTGAGAGAAACCTCACAGCTAATTCTATAATTAAAAATGTGATTAATGACTTTGAGTATAGTATTTGAGGAATCATGTCAAGTATCATGACAAAATCAGGTCTCCTGGTGTGTGAATAAGGAGAATATAGGGAACTTGATGCCAGAAAAGACTCATGGGATACTGATGTCTATGTTTGTAGGTGTAGTAAGTGCTGAAGGCCTACTGAAAAATATGTATTGCTAAGTGGGAGTACTGATTTTCAGTGGAAATGAGTAACTACTAAATTACATGCGGCATATGGATTTACATTTGGATGACTGATTTTATGTCTGGGATAATTCTTTGCTTCATTAGCATTTCATCAGCTTTTGTATGGTATTTATAAAAATGTTTGCAGTCTTGCAAATGAATCATAAAGTTGCAGAACTTCAAGATTGTGGTGATTCTAAAATTGATGTCAGCTATATATGGAAATTTTAAAAACCCATGTTGATCAGGGTTAATCTGAATATTTAATAATATTTCACCAATAACTGGCAGTTTCTTCAAGGTCTGATTTAATGTTACTGTGAATTAAAGTGCTATTAGCAGAATTTTGGAAATGACCACACACCAAATGCACAAGACAAGTACCAAGTAATAATAACTTAGTTTTAATGTAGTAAATAACTAGTGCATCTAAAAATAGTGGGATGAGTGTTTTGCTCTCAAAAGAATGATTTTATCAGTTGTAAAGAAAGTTTGTCTATGTCATCTGTATTGCAGTAATCTATTTCATAGTTAATGTAGCCTTAAGTAGTTAAGTTACCTTTTGTAAAAACAAGTTTCATTTTGGAAAATGAAAGAGAGGGCAATTTGAAATATCCACATTCAGTGTTTCCAATTCTATCTTGTTAAATTTTTTTTAGTAACACTTTTAATAAAGGGTGATAGATTGTTTATCACTATTTATCAAGATTTATGGGATAAACCGGCAAACTCTTAGAAGTAATTATAATACTCAGCTAAAATACAAGAATGGGAAAGTCAAAACTGTAATCATTTTATTATTTCCAGGTCGTATGTTTTGTTTTACTTGTCACTAAACATAAGGGAATTGTACATATATGAAACACAGTATAAATATCCGAAGGATTAGGCACTGACAAATCACTGGTAGAGTAAGTGGCATTAGTGAAGTGGGTGTGACACAATCACCATTTCCTCCTGAAAAACATGCATTCCTGTGATGATGAGCAGCGGAAGCAGATGTGTCATGTATTTGAAAGCCAGGCCTGGTAACTCAAAAAGAAAAAAAAAAAAGAGCAACTAAAAGGACATGTGTCACTCCTGCTCTGACTGGGAAGGACAATGTAGCCAGTCTGAAGTAGCTCTGTTAGAGATGTCTTGTCAACTGGATGAAGGGTCGCCTTTTTGTCCTCAATGTTCTGGATTGCTACAGAGGAAAGATTGTGTTTGTCACTGGTTTTGCACTGCTCTCTGTTGCTGCTGGAAGGAAGAAAGGCAAGGTATTAATAAGTGATAAGAGACCATAGAAAAGTGCTGAGGGCAGTCCTGCTGGTACTGAGCTCATGTTTCAGAAATTTGAACTCCATGAAAATAGGATTAAACTCATTTCCAAGTCACTATTAGTAGTTTTCTCCATGAAAAATTTCTTGGAGGAATCTTCCTCCAGGGATAATGTATGTACACAGTGGGAAATTTGAGTGATTTTTCTTAGATACTCTTGTCTCTTCGAGCGTGGAATGAACTAGGACAGCATAACCTGATGTCCTAAACTCAAAGCCTGTTCTTCATCTCCAAGGTGCACTTTGTCTTATTTTTGCTGAAGAAATGAGCAATTGTTGACTATATTAAAAATCATACATTTGCAACAATTCTGCCTTCCTGCAACAGACTGTAAGGACAGTCTGAGGTGCTGGTGGTATGCTCATGAGGTGCCCCTCATGTGGGGCACCAAACTTCTGTCTGCTTTGTGTTGATACAGTAAGGAATGACAAACTGTAGCAAGTCCTGCCTTAGACCTTTCTAACATCTGTGCAATTCCAGTTGTCTGTTATTTAGGTCAGAGGCACAACTCAACAAATCAGGAAAAATGGTATAATCCTGTGGGGTAGTGGTATCAAAACCACCCTAGAGAGCAGTTCTTTATTGTCAACTTCTTGTTATGCTTATCAATATCAATAGCTTATCAATAGTTTAGCAGTACTGATTACTAATTGACATCCTGTCATTCTATATGTGTAGCTTATTTAGACTTGATTAGTGCACATAAAAATCAATGGGAAATTTCCCAAATTCAATCAAAACTTTAAGTAGAAACTGAAAATACTAAATGTCTTAGAACATCCAATGATCAGGGAATGAGTGATGTATTTTGAAGAGGGCACCAGTAAGAGAAAGTTGTGCTTTCCTCCCTCACAGCTTAAAAATGGAGCCAAAGACCAAAGGATTAAAACATCAACAGCAGCAACATAAGAAGCTGCTGGCTGCCATGCTTTCTCAGGACTCCTTTGATTCTGCTCAAAGCACAGCTCCATCTGTAACCGAAGAAGACATTGACAATGAAGATGATGCAATGGAACTACTGGGTAACTGCAAAAAATTATGTGTATTTTCTGAATTTTTTTATTATAAAAAGTCAAACAGAGATTAGTCAGAAACTGCTCCCTATGCTTGAAGCTAAAGTATTTAGCAACTGTGTGAAGGTTCATTGGGGTTTAACATGAAACTTTCAGGAGAAATATAAGGAGGACCATAAATGTCTGTGAATAAACTCCTAGCTGCATCCAAATTGCATGAAATCAAATGCTTCAGGTGCTTAAAGTAATTACTTTGGTTTCCTACATAAATCCCTTCCACATTTTGCTTGCAGAATGTATTTCTCTACAAGGAACAGAATCAGCTTCACTGTCTTTCATCTGGTTCTACTTTTTCTTAGCTGCATCACAGTTTTAGCCAGTAGATTTTTTTTTACTTACTAGCTACATAAAGTTTATGTAATGTGAATATGTAACCTCTTCAGAGGATTTGGTTGTAATTTTCCACTAGACTGTATTGTATCTTAAATTGCACTCTAGAAGACTTCATGCTCGTTGCTGCCTCCCTTTCCCAGAATTACTAATTGTATTTAATTAATAATGGTTTTAATTGTACTTAATAATTTCTTTTCTGCTATTTTTCAGATTTTCAGTGTATGATGCTTAAAAGGCAGTCATGGATTTCATTATTTAACAGTTTCTGTTCAGTGGAACTTTATGTGGGTTCAAATCATGGGAAATTCACAATCTCAGAATAACTGAAGTTTCTTGAGTTCATGAATTCTGGCATGATTTTTCTTTTTCAGGACTTAATCTAAAAATCAGAAAAACACATGCTACTCCTTCTACTTTCTATATTTCTTTTGCATCCTTACTATAGTCTTCAAAGAAACACAGTATAGGTGAAGTTGGAGGGGACTGCTGGAGGTATCAAGCACAACCTTTTGCTCAAAAAAAATCAGCTATAGAAGGTTCTTATGAGTGAGCTTTGACTTTCTCCAAAGATGGAGTTTCTACAACATCTCTGGGCAGCCTGTTCTGGTGCTTGACCATGCTTATGGTAAAAAAAAAAAAAACCAAAAAAACATATATATATATATATATATATATATATATATATATTCTGTTTAATTAATTGCAAATTAATACATTATTTCCTTTAATTTTTCAGTAGTTTTAAGTTTGATATATGCATCTCTTTTACAAGAAAGAAGAGAATGGCCTGGATCACTCATTATTTACCACATACAGAATAGATTTTTGTGTTAATTTCTGTGCAGATAGTGAGCAAAATGTATCCAATAGATGTACAGGTGTTTTCTTCCAGATAGTTAAATCCCTGAAGGTAGCTGGAATTGAGAAGGCAGTATAAAGGAATTTTCTAGTGTCTTGACACTTGGGTAGAAAATGATCTGTGTACAAGCTAGTGTTTTGGGTTTTTTTTTTTAATAAGTACTTGAATGTAAGAATACATTCTAGTTTTGTGCCATGCAAAAGAACTAAGAAAGTTCATGAGCAGGACCTCCAGTTTGAGTAGGGTGTTATATAAATGTAAGATTCTGAGGCAAACTCCTGACATATTTGAGGAGTAGCCATGCTTGTAGTGATTATAATATTGCTATGTAATAGTAACACCCACTGAGTACTCAATATACACTGAGCTTTTAATGGTATTTAAAGTGCTGTGCTTCTGAAAAACTGGCTTTTATTTTAATTCTCATTTGGCAATTTGCTGACAGTATATGTTATATTTGGTATAGTGGTTACACTACACTACATCTCTCAGAAATGCTCAAAATTTGAGACTATGACTGTGTTACATGGGAAGGATGTTTTAGTTTTCCTTTGAAGGTAACATAAATTCAGTTCCTGTCAGCAAATATAGGTATTTTTCATTGCTGTATTTTCCAAGTCAGTAACTGTTACTGTGGTTTTTTGTTTTTTTGTTGTTGTTTTTTTTTTTTTATTATTATGTACCACATTAGTCTATTAAATGCTTTGTTGCTTTTTACACAACCTATATGCAGTATAACTAATTTCAAGTCATGGCTTTCTGCCATCACTGAATTGCAGAGCACTGTTGCATATAGCTCTTTGATTTGTTCTCTTCAGAGTTCAGTATTCTTTGTTTATTCAACTCTTTCTTAAAAAATTACAAAACTTTATGCTCCTAAGTCAGGATTCTGGGAAAACTGTTCTACAATTTATAGCAGATAATTTAAAGTGTACACTACATTTAAAATGCAGAACACAAACATCCATCTTTAGGTGTGTTCAAGAGGATCTTTTTCAGATTTTGGTTGATTTATTTAGGTATTAAAAGCATAAAGCTGACTTTTTGCATATTTTCTTTAAAAAAACCTCTATCGCCTAGGTGAGTCGATGAAGCTTTTCGCTAGAATTTTTATATTCCAAATAAAAGAAGCAATTACATTGTTATCCATTTCAAAAGAAATTTATGTGCAAAGAAGAAAAAGAATGTTACGGGGCTATATTCTGATTTCAGCTATCACTTTTTATATGTAAGATAAGATGTATAGGAGAGCTGTTCCCATGCTGGTGACTTTCTAAGTGTGTTCAGTTAAGCAGGTGACTGAAATACATTAGTGACAGACAACATCATAATGGGAAGGATCTTCTTGACTTCAAAAAGCTGAGAACTATAACTGTCAATTCACATGTGTTTGTAAATCTTGAAGGGTCTGGGATGTCTGGGACAAAATTATATCAAGGGACTAATTTTTTACACATCATAATGCCAAGTATTGTGTTTTGTAAATCTAACCGGGAGCTGGCGTAATCATTTGAGAAATTCTGCAGCCCTTTTTGGAGTTCTAAGACTTTTGGGCTTAAGCTGTGTCTCATATTTTGGTGAAGTCCAGTGAGACTTAGAAATTATGTTACTCTCTCAGTATCTCACTGATGTGCTGAGAGAGGGCTGAAGTGTTATTTTCCCTGAAGTTGCTGTGAATATTGATTATACAGTCACCAAAGCACGACTCGTTTGGTTTTAAAAAATCAATTGACTAAGTCTAAAAATATAATTGCTCAAGTGTATTGCTGTGGATAAACATACACATTATAAAAATATATGGATTTCTGTAGCACACTTGTATACTATAATGCATACTTAAATACACATTCTTGAAGTTTTTACAAGTTAAGGAAGATGAGAAAGACATTCTGTGTTGTTTTACACAATCATGGCATAGAGAACAAGTCCTGTGAGGAGCAGCTTAGGCAATGAGGGTCGTTTGGCCTGGAGAAAAGGAGGCTCAGAGGAAACCCTTTTACATTCTCCAACTTTCTGAAACAAGGTCAGATGGAGTTTCCTGTCTTCTCCCATGTAAGAAGTGATAGGACAAGGCCACAGGTCATGCCAGGGGAGATTTAGGTTAAATATTAGGAAAAGTTTTTTCATGAAAGTGTTTGTCAAGTATTTTAACAGGCTGCCCAAGGAAATGGCTGAGTCATTAACCCTGGAGGGATTTAAAAGATGTGTAGATGTGACACATGGTTTAGTGGTGGACTTGGCACTGCTAGGGCAGTGGTTGAACTTGATGATCTTAATGGTCTTTTCCAGCGTAAATGATTCTGTGATTCCATGATATTTAGTCATAATACTCAAGCAGCAATTTCTTGGATTTGCCCAATCTCTCTGTGTGCTCACACTACTAAAAGCGTTACCATGTGTTAACAGATGCTGTGCAGTAGTTAACTCTATAGCACCTCTGCAAAGGGGACCCAGAAGTTCACTCATACAACTGTGGTTGAAGCCAAATTCCTGCAATTGATACATATGCCAATCTGTTTGATTCTGAAGAGCATCTCTGATTTCAATGCAAATAATCTTATATCTGAGCTGAACTTAATTGTTTGGAGCATCGGGACTTGTAAAACTCTTCTTTTCTTTGGAGCTGTTTTCACAAAAATGATGGGTTTTTCTCCATAATGTATAAATTTGAAGTGAAAGTTCAGTGGTTGTTTGCCTCTGTTTATTATGTGTAATTCCTTCTCTACAGTAATAAACCAGAATCTTTAAAGATAGAAATGCACTTCAATTAGTAATAAACTTTCCAATTATTGCTTTGGGAGATATCTGATGTGTTCTTTTTCCTTTAATAACTCTTCTTCTAATCTTTAGAATTTCTTTTTTCTCTTCAGGAGCTTTCAAATGCTAATTATTTAATTATTTTAACACCCTTGAAAGGTTGTCTGGTGATATATTTACATTTTATAACAAGAGAAGATAAATAGAATATAGTGGAGATTGCATTTGCCTGAAGGATGAGACTGTAGCTCAGTGTCTGGTAGTTTACCCCTTAAATATCTATACTGCTTTTTTAATGAGCCTCTGAGTCATTAATGAAAGGGTGTGCAATCTGCAGTGTTTTCAGTGCATTTCCTCTGATTTAACAGATGTTTTCCTTGGTTTCTAAAGGTCTTTGACAACATGCAGGAAACTGACTCTAGGCATGATAAATTATACTAATACTAGCAGCAGGTTGTTGTTTTTTGTTGACTTTCCCAGATGAACAAAACCTTCTCCATTATGTGACTAGAATACAGAATTATCAGAAGAGAGACCACAAAGCCCTGGGAAAGATGATGTGAGTTGTACTACATCTTCCGAATAGTTTTCTGGCCTGTAGCCCGTTTTGTTGTCATTTAAGTAGAATGATTGCTTGAGAGAAAGATGTATGAATTGCACCTAATGTTCCCTTTCACTGAGTCTTGTGTTTTTGAAAGCTATTGGGAAATTGGTAAATCTACCAGTGGGCATGTGCTGTGTAGGGCAGGAGCAGAGAATGACACCCCTGGGAGACAGGAGGCCTCCTCTGCATGCTGAGACTGGCTGTGCTGTACACTGCAAAGTTTTCAGTGGCAGATACAGTGCGCTGGTGTGTATGTAACAGATGTCCTCTAGAAGAGCACTCAAGCTCCATCAAGTGTGGGTTTAAATATCTTTTTTGAGGTAAAAGTTCAGCAAATAGCATATTCAGTTTTTCTAGTTTTTCTGCAAATGTATAAAGTCACAGAGCAAGAGAAAT